CATTATCCAACGTTTTCCCATTCTTGTTTTTTTAAACTCTATGGTTTATTTCGTCTTTCCCTTTTCATCCAACAGTGAACAAATTATTTGGAGGTGAACAAGGACATGTTTGTTTGTTTATTTTCTAACTGGCCAGAGGAGCTTTAGAAACGTGCTGTTGCTAACATTGGTGATTCCCAGATAGATTGCTTTGTTCTCAGAGACTGGTGATTCTCCCTTTACTGTGTGGAATTGTCTGTAATTTTTCCTCTAACCATTACAGTGTTCACAGATATTCTGTGACTGCTACCGTGATATGTGCATTCTCTATATTAAGTGTGAATTTTACTATCTAGCTATAATCTAGCTATAATGTAGCTAGATCTACATTGTCAAGTTTGTCTTTTTCTCCATTTGACAGGTGAAATCTCTCTTAATAGTGTGCTCATCTCTTTTTTTTACATCTTGAACACTGGGGCTGTTTATTAACCAAGAATCTTGGTGGCTTGTGACTTTCCCTGGAGAGATGTAAATAAATGTCTGTTTGTTCAAGATTTGTCATACCACCACAGAACTCCACTCAACCCTAATATAATATGCTAGTGACTTTTAGGGGGTTATTTACAAGAGTATGAGTGAGAGACTCCTTGCCAAAATATGAATGACATTCCCAGACACTCATCCCAGCATAGATGATGGCATGTGAGAGCTGCATCTCTGGAGTTTCCTGTGTGGCTTACAGGCAATTCTTCTAGTTCAAAAGTCTCTTCTCTCCAGCAATATGAAATGCTTATACAATCTTTGAGAAGGGCCTTGTAAATTTTAGGAACTTTCTGAGACTTGTGAACTGTTGACTTCTTTAGCCATGAAAGTTCCACTGACTTCCTTAGACTTAAGGAGCTCCTATCCAAGATGGAATATTTCACTTTAGAGGCACTTGCTATGTAGCATTCAGCCTTTAGAACCACCAAGAGTCCATTTCAGTATGGTTTGAAGCTTCTGTCTCCAAAGGTACCTTGTCAGATGTTAAATACATCCCGTTTTCTTCTTTCCATCTGTTCCAGTTTGCTTCTTGTTGCTGTGATAAACACAATGACCAAAGACAACTTGGGGATAAACGAGTTTGTTTAGCACAGAAGTCTATAGTCTATTACTGAGAGAAGGCAAGACAGGTACTTGAAGCAGAAATTTATGGAGCAAAGCTTCTTGCAGGCTCTTCCAAGGCCCATGTTTAGCTATCCTTCTTCTACACCCCAGGCTCATCTGCCTAGGAATGGTACTGCCCAGAGTGGGTTGAATTGTTCTACAATATTTTTTTTGTAAAAAAAAAAAAAAAGTTTCATTGAAATGCCCACAGAGTAGTCTGATGAAAGTAATTACTCAGTTGAGATTTCTTCTTTCTAGATGTGTAAAGTTGACAACCAAAATTTGCCACACACCCTCCATTTATATTTTGGTAGGGCTTTCCCAATCTTTTAGGAATCACTTGATGACCGCTTAAACTCCCCTATTACAACATTGAACTTGGTCTTGTGGTATGACAACATCTAAAAGTCTTTTCTCAAAACTGTAACCCTCTCGAATAAAAAAGGAAAAAAAAAAGAACGAGAGACTACAGTGCTTAAACCAGGTAAGTCTCTGCATCTGTAGAGCCATTATCACAGAGGACATAGGTTACTGCTGTCTGTCTGTACCCTCCTGAGCTCCTAGAAAGGCTTGCTTTCCTGTTGTCTTGCTTCAAATCTGTCAGTAAGCCAAACGCCACCCTGATTGGCTCTCTCTTATAAACAACGTATTCATTTGAAGTTTTAACTTTTTCTGTCTTCAAGTTCTCAAATGTGCTGTCTCTCTCTCTCTGTCTCTCTCTCTGTCTTTCTGTCTCTCTATGTCTCTGTCTCTGTCTCTCTGTCCCTCTGTCTCTCTCTGTCTCTCTGTCTCTCTGTCTCTCTCTCTCTCTCTGTCTCTCTCTCTGTGTGTGTGTGTGTGTGTGTGTGTGTGTGTGTGTGTGTGTGTGTGTGATTTCTCAGAAACTGTCTGCCTCTTTTCTCAGGGTCTCTCACCAGGACATGGAGCTCACTGATAATACTAGGCTGGTAGACAGCAAGTCCCGTGGACCCTCGCTTCCTGCCTCCCTGGCTCCGCGCATCAAACGCTTTGCTAACTGAAGTGTCCCTAGCCCCTAGATTCTAATGTTTTAACTTAATTATCATGAGTCAGTTTTCTCAGTCGCTAGAAACGTGATTTTAGATGAGATACAGTTATTGAAGAAGGCTCATTTCGTTTTAATTTTTAATACTATTGTGGGGGGTGCACCTGCTACAGAGCTTATGTGGAGGTCAGAGGACACCGCGCAGGAGTCGTCATGTTCTGGGTTCTGGGGTCAAGCTCGAGTCATCAGGCAGAAGGCACCTTTAGCCTCTGGGCGTCTTGAGGATCCTGAGGTTCTTGCACAGGGAAGTTCTCTGTCTTATTTCGGGGAAATTTGGCATTCTTTCTTAGACTTTTTCTGATTGCTTTTGTTCAAGGTTTTTTTTATCTTTTATCTTTTTTTGAATATTGGTATTAGTCTGTGTACCATGTCTGTGAGGTGCCCGTGGAGGTCTGAAGAGGTTATTGAATAGGAGTTACTGATGATTTTGAGCCATTGTGTAGGTGCTGGGAATCAGGCCAGCCAGTGCTTGTAACCGCTGTACTCTCTCCAGACCCGTTTGCAGTCTTATTTTCTTTTCCCAGTCCTTTCCTTTTCCTCCTGTTTTCTGGGTCCACACACACTTTGCTCCTCTCTATCACAGGGAAAGGCTGAGATTTTTTTTTTCAGTTTTGAAATGACTTTTATATTTTTATTCAATTTCTTTCTGGCAGTCTTTGTCATTTATCTGTTTCTAGTCAGAAATTTAAATTTCCAAATCACTGTGGCTATTTTTTTCATTTCTTATTGGAATGAATTCGCTTTGGGGCATTGCTCCCCTCCACCTCCCTCCTCCATGAGATCTTTTTTTTTTTTTATTAATCAGTGCATTTATTCCTAACAAATATCAATCTTGTTGATGTCATTGAGTAATATTAACATGTATTGAGCCAGTCCTTTATGAATCCTTTACATGTACATTTTCTACTTACTACTTAAATGACCATGGGAAGTAGATATTATTCACATTTAATAGGCAAGCAAAGGAGATATACAGGAACTGAAAAACTTGTCAAATCAGAGTTGGTTGGAGGCAAAGCAAGATCCAAACCCCAGGTCGTTCTCCCTCCAATGCTCACGCTGTTCACCACTCCCCTACGGTGCTTCAAATGTTTATTTTATTATTATTATTTTAGAGGCACACTTTTTTAAAAATTTTTTTCTCAAATCGTAATTCATTCACACAGGGGTTATAAACACAGAAAGGCAGGATGTTATAAACACAGAAAGACTGGAGTGTGGGTGTTCAGGGGGAATACAGATATCTTCAGAACCGGGTATCGGCTGGGTGAAGGTTCAGGGGACAAGTCACTATGACTCAGTCTATGACTCGATTGTCCTTATCTAAGTTGGTATTGTCTACCAAGGCTACCTATTTACAAGGTCTATGACTACTCAGGCTTGTAAATTTACACAAAAGCTGCCCGTTGACATTAGCTTATAACCATCCGTTTCAATGTTTTTCCACAGAGACCCAAGACTTGGTGTTAGCATACATGTATGACAGGCCTATTGCTGATTTTAGGCCTATGGCTGATTTTAGGCCTTCAGTGTGTGAGCAGGGCTGCCCCAGACATCTCCTCCCTTCTCTAAGTATAGAAGGGCTGTGGCAATTCTAAACTTGTGAAGGCGGGGATAGAGGCCTGACCTCCAGTAATTGAAGGGGACCTTGTAATGGCTCCGGTCCCCCTGTCATTGTCCAGTGAGGCATGAGGGCCATACCCGTCCCGATGTATTTTTCCTGGAGAGGGGATACTTTTGACATCAACCCCTATGCAGTCAGGCTTGTCTCTCAGGGAACCCAGGTAGATATTTTTATCTTTTATTTATATTCCCTTGTAGTGCTTAGCCTCGCAGCCTAAGCAGGAATTCAGATCACCTGTCAGAGGGGGTTCTGGGTGGCCCCTCTCTGCTTGGTCTAGGGGCAGAATTCCCCCCTTTTAGGTTGGGTAGAGATGGGTTTTGGAAACACCCTGTATAAAGTAACAACCTCATCTTGAGTCTCGTGGTCCTCCATAGCTAACTTATGACAATGTATCTGAGTTATCTCCATGAGATCTTTATTGAGTATTTTCACTGGCCAGAGAGGTCTGATCTACCATTTCTGCATCCTGGGGTTGGGAAGATGAGTCGCTATCCAATTTCTTAGTTCACTAGTGCCCTCTTGTGTTGATATTGTGAAGTACAGTTTAGGGAAAATATTAGCACTTTGTTTCTGTAGGTTGCTTAATACTTTGATACTTTGTTTCTATATAGAATTTTTGCTCCAGCCATTTCTTTCTTAGGACATTTTACCCTTATAAGTTTTCTTCTTAGAAGTGTCTTCCCTGATTTCCTCTGTTCCCTCAAGAATTCTAAATCCTTTACTTGCGGCTCCCCTGTATTAACTGCAGACCTCAAACTGTCCATTCACTAAAGCCCCATGGTTCCTGTATGAGTGGATCTTAAAGACTTTATTGCAATACTTTTGTTTATTTGAGATGGAGCCTGTTTAGTTTGCTTTCTGTTTCTGTGATAAAACACTGGGACCAAAAGCAACCTGGGGAGGAAAGGTTTTATTTGGCTTATACTTCCCGATTATAGTTGAGCAAAGTCAGAGCAGGAAGTCAAACAGGAACGTAGCCGAAAATGCTCTCATAGATCTTTCAAGAGAGTCCATGTGTCTCTTACTGGACCCCAGATCCAGTCCAGCTGAAACCAAGCTTGACGTCACAGACACTGTGCCGTATTTGAGCCTTATGATTTGCTGCTTTGAAACTGGTCGCTTTTACCTTCATTTGTCTGAGTTAGCCTGTTAACCATCTTCTTTGTCTGTGTGTCTCTTAACCTCCAGTGCATGCTGTCAGACTGGCTGGGAGAGAAACCCGACTTCAAGAACCTTTCGCAAACGACATCTACCAGATAGCTGAGGAAATTGTGACCGCTCTGTTGCCCATCATCCAGGATAAAGCTTTTGCATTTTTTGGCCACAGGTATTTAAATCTTGTAAGCAGCGTGTGTGAGACTTAGGATAGGTACTCAATGTTAAAGCACTTGCCTATTACCCTTAGGGCCCTAGGAAGCTCCTACCACAAGTGGGCTTTGGGTTTTGTGAGACACAACATTTTCTCCTGTTTAAACAGAACATTGGATAATTATCTCCAGTTATCCTCCAACCACAACTGTTACAGTTCTCCAGTTTGTTAGGAGATACTTCTAAAAGGAAGACTCTATCAGAAACTTCTATTTATTTTTCAAATTAAAATATTTATGGAAATAATATGTATTCCTCAAGACCTAATTTCAGACCACTTAGAACTACATGGCCATGATCTTGGACAAATCTCTTCGGCCTCTAGATTAGCTGGAGGAAGTAGTTCTTATCTATGGAGATTAAGTGACCAGTGACTACAGGACTGGAGAGATGGTTCAGAGGTCAGCAGTGTACAGCTCTTGCTTAGGAACTGAGTTCGATTCCCTCCAATCACCTTCTCACATCTGCCTGTAATTCCAGCTCCTAGGGACCTGATGTCGCTGGTCTCCATAGGCAGCTGCATTCATGTGAGTGTATCCACACACAGACACATATGCATACACATAATTAAAAACAGATAAAAATCTTAAATTAATAGTGATCGTAACTGTGTAAGTGCAAGGTACATGCATAGTGTCATGGGTGTGGAGGTCAGAGGTCAACAGTTGGAAATCGTTTCTTTCCATCCACCATGAAATCTGGGGCTCAAACTCAGGTCCTCAGCCTTATGTGCTGAGTGTGTTTACCTGCTGAATCATCTCGCTGGTCCTACAAATAACAATAGTATTATTCTGAAAGTACTTTGACCTCACAGACCATCAGCTGGCTTCTTAGGGTCACTATTGCTGTGAGGAAACACCATGTTCAAAGCAACTTGGGAAGGGAAGAGTTGATTTGGCTTCTACTTCCACATCATAGTCCATCCTTGAAGGAAGCCAAGACAGAAACTCAAACAGGACAGGAACTTAGAGGCCTGAGCTGATGCAGAGACCGTGGAGGAGTGCTGCTTACAGGCTTGCTCAGCTTGCTTTCTTATAGAACCCAGGACCAACAGCCTAGGAATGGCCCCACCCACACCGAGCTGGGTCCTTACCATCAATCACAATTAAGAAAATGCCTTACAGGCTTGTCTACAGGCTGACCTTATGGAGACTTGTTTTTTTAATTGAGGTTCCCTCCCCTTCAGTGACTCTAGCTTATATCAGGTAGACATAAAACTATCCAGCAAAGACCGGGGTTTTGAAATCCCTCCGTGTCCCTGGAGCGTTCTTCGAGACCTGCTGATATAGACCATGAAGAACAAAGTGTATGCATCTTTAACGGAGAAAAAGAAATCGGTTAGAGCAGTTTGATAAGTAGTGGTTTTTTTCTTTATGGCAGCTTAGCTTCCAAATAAATGAGACCGAGATGCTTAGGTTTATTTGATAAACCTTACAGCACAGTAGCTGGGCAGTTATTGATCCATTCTAATCCTCTGAGCTCATCTGGCAACCTCCCAGCCAAAATCCCTGAGGTACTTGCATTTTTGTGTTGATCTGGCTCTCTCTGCTCCAGCTGTGTTCTCATGGTGGCTCTGGCACGATCTCCACATGCTGAGCCCCTCTTTTCCTCTCTATCACCACCCCCTTGCTGAAATTGGAAATCCAGCCCTATTCTCTGCCCTATTCAGTTATTGACTGATCTTCTTTTATTGACAATCAGAACGAGAGCAATGTGTATGCAACATTGAGACAGAAGATTTTAGAATAAGCATTACAGTGCCAAACACGGGGGCAGAGAAGCCAGCATTTTTGAATAATGAAAGAATAATCTTTACACAGTGTACAATAAATAACCTTATGCCAACAGAAATATTCTCTCTCTCTCTCCCTCTCTCTCTCTCTCTCTCTCTCTCTCTCTCTCTCTGTCTCTCTCTCTCTCTCTCCTCCCTCTCCCCCCCCCCCCCGGTGTGTGTGTTGTATGTGAGTGTATGTGTGCATGAACCTGAAATACATGGGGAAGTGGGATGACCATGCATGCCGGTCCTTGCTTACCATTTACCTTTTGTTTAAGATGGGATCTCTCAATGGCCTGACACTTTCCCACGGAGGCCAGGCTAGCCGGACCAACCACGATTTTTCAGGGATCATCCCATCTTCTGTTTCTCATTTTTGCACTGTTGAGATTTCAGGCCTGAGCAGCTAAACTCGGCTTTTTACATTGGTTCTGGGGATTGGAACTCTTCACAAATGGGAGGCGAGTGCATCACTGACAAAGCCGTCTCTCAGGCTTGAAACACTTCTTGTATGGACAAGCATCACCAGTAATAAGCTTTCTGCAAACCAGTTATCATCCAGTTTAGCTTCTGCCAACCCCACAGTTTCCTCTGTCTTTGTGATCCCAGGTTTCTGTGAGTTTCCCCCAACGCGCTGTCATGTTTGTCTTTCCTCTGGTTTAGTTTGGGATCCTACATTGCTTTTATTACTGCACTGCACCTAAAGGAGAAATACAAAATGGAGCCGCTGCATTTCTTTGTATCCAGTGCATCTGCCCCTCACGTAAGTTCTGGTTTTCCTGGGGTGGGGGATGAAGAAGAGGGAAGAGGGAAGAGGAGTACTAATGGCTGCTTGCCTTTGATCCAGCCTGGCAGGAGGGTGTGGATCCTGGGCACTAATGAAAACCCCTGAGGTCTTTCAACACAGTTCTCTCCATCCCCCTCCAAATGAACTTCAGCCTTTCTCCTGACTACTGTCTCATTGTCTCTGTCCCTCTGAGGTAATGCTGCCCCTTCCTGCTTTCTGTTTCTAGCACATTACTTCTTTGCTTCCTCTATACAGACTGGGACTGGCCTGGCATTCTAACTCAGAGGTGCTGTTTGGGTGTCACTATGAATCAAAGGTTACTCTCACACTGTCTTCGCCCTCCTTGATTTAAGGACGTAGGCTTGAGGTTTTGGGCAAGTGTGTTTCATGAACATTCAGCCATGTGTTTGTTGATGTTTCAAGTCAATATACCGGCCTCAAGTTCCTGATCTTAACAAATTGTCAGAAGAACAAATCAGAGATCACCTTCTGATTTTTGGAGGCACGCCCAAGCATCTCATCAAAGATCCGGATGTTCTGAGGCAATGTGTCCCTTTGCTGAAGGCAGATGCTGCCATTGTGAAAAAATTCATGTAAGTAACTGAGACGCATGTGCACACACACCGAGTGTGTCTCTCTGTGTGTGTCTCTGTGAGTGTGCATGTCTGTGTGTCTGTCTCTGACTGTGTGTGTGTCTGTCTCTATGAATGTGTGAGTATATGTGTGTGTCTGTCTCTGTGAATGTGTGAGTGTATGTATGTGTGTGCGTGTGTCTGTCTCTGCGAATGTGTGAGTGTATGTGTGTGTCTGTCTGTAAATGTGTGACTGTATGTGTGAATGTGTGTGTGACTGTTGTCTGTCTATCTTTGTGGGTGTGCATGTCTGTATGTCTCTCTGTATGTGAGTGTGTGTGTGTGTGTGTCTGTCTGTCTGTCTCTGTGAGTGCGCATGTCTGTGTGTCTCTGAGTGTGTGTGTGTGTCTGTCTGTCTCTGTGAGTGTGCATGTCTGTCTCTCTGAGTCTGGGTCTGTCTCTGTGAGTATGTGAG